TTCACTGGAGCCTGGAGCCTGGGTTTGAGCATCTTCTCTTCTTTCCTCTCAGGTTTGTGCTTCTTAACCGTCTGTTTTCGCTTCTTTTTTGAACTGCCATAGTCACTCTCACCACTGTCTCCCATTAGAAAGTCTCTATCGCGGCCAGCACGTTTCCCCTGGAAGGTGACTCATCCTCCTTCTTCACTGCACACATCTTCCATGAGCATCTCTCTCTGTTTAGAAGCTACCTTACAGGCTGCTTGCCATCGCTGGTGCACATTTTTATGATCTCCTTTTGCATCGCCACTGTCCTCTGCTCAGTGAGAATGATCCTTCTTGGTCTTTACATCTTTTTCCTCTGAGTCCTCACTATCTTCCTGTGAATTCTTTCCAGATCGCCTATTTTTAGCTTCTCTGGGAGATGATCGAATTTTCTTAGCTGAGGGCTCAAATCTCTTCCATAATCTTCATCAGCATCATCAGATTCCTGAAACTGTGAATAATCAACGACCTTTCTATTTCTGGCAGGCTGAGACATGTTCGCTGTTGAAACAGGACCGAGCTGTGAAGCCAAAGGCCAGGACCCCCTCCCCGCATGCTCAGCGCCCCAGCCCTATCCCTATGTGGGCCCAGGAGGGGCCTGGGCTACCAAACCCTGGAGCTGCTGGCTTCTCAAACTCCACCATTCATTGATTCAGTGCTCTGTAATCAGACAAGTTCCCATTCCCCCCCGTGTCTTCAAAATGGATGAATCAAACCAGCCAAAAATGTGTCAAAGCTGCAGTGCAACCGAACTCACTAGGGCTTGTGGGGAAGGGGGGGAAGGTTGTCGTTTTAAGCAGTGGTGAAAGATGGCTTTCCTGATAGCAGTCATATCTGAGCACAGAGGTAAGACAGCGAGTCAGGAAGATACCTCAGAGAAAAGGATTCCAGGCAGAAGAAATGGTAAGCAGAAAGGCCCTAAAGCAGCGGTTCTCAACCTGTGGGTCACAACCCCTTTGGGGTCGAATGACCCTTTCACAGGGGTCGCCTAAGACCATCGGAAAACAAAAAGATATTTACATTACGATTCATAACAGTAGCAAAATTACAGT